ACCAACCAAGTGGCAGCAGGGGAGTGATGAATGATAGTGCTGGAAGTCAAAATGAGAAGGGGGATTGTTTGACAGAAAGGAAACAGGAGGAACTGGAACGGATTTGGCAGCAGATTTGTACACTGTTGGAGGAATATAAATAGAAAGAGGAAATGATTGAGCTATCAAGAAAAACCTAAATCAGACGCAAGCCCCAACAGATTGGGGCAGGAAACAGGAAATAAAGGGCTGTCTAGGATGTTGTGGGTGATAAGGGTAGGAAAAAGAGGTCTGAAGTAGAGAGACTAATTTTGGACATTGAATGGGATATCGAATTCAGTGGAAGAGGGGAAAGGAAAAAGGCTTCTAGTATGAGGAAGCCATCATGACTAGTATGAGGAAGTTCAATGACTTCATTAACTCTTATGAGTTACGAGAGCTTCCTTTACTATAAGCTATCTTCACTTGGTCCAACTTCCAAGAAAACCCAACTTGTTCAAAGCTTGATAGGTTTCTTTTTAATGAGGGTTGGGAGAGCCATTGGAAAGGCTTGGTGGCTAAGGACTTACCTAGGGTCACCTCTGACCATTGCCCCATAGAAGTAGGACAAGAGCCTCTTGGAAATGGACCTAGACCATTCAGGTTTAAGAATATGTGGTTAACACATCTAGATTTCTTGTCTAAGGTTAAGGAATGGTGGAGTGAAGAGATGAGGGGAGTGAAATGGAATGGGGTTAGATTCCACAAAAAAATTAAAAAGGTTGAGAGGAAAAATAAAAGAATGGAATAGGGATCAATTTGGAAGAGTGGAGGAAGCAAAAGCTAGACTACTAACTCAAATTGAGGATTTAGATGCAAAAGAGTCCCAAAGGATGATGGTAAGAAAGGGGATGGTTAGAAAGAAGATCGAGGAAGAGGAAATTAAACAAGCTATCATTTCTATGGATAGAGCTAAGGCACCGGGTCCAAATGTTTACAATGGCATTTTATCAAGACTGTTGGGACATAATCAAAGAAGATTTAACTGGAGCCATTAGAGAAATAGAGAATTTGAGAATAAACATATTGTGAATCCTGGAATCGATGCCACTTTTCTAGCTCTAGTTCCTAAAACGACTAATGCCAAACACTCCAAAGATTTTCGGCCAATCAGCTTGGTGACTAGCATCTATAAGATTTTGGCAAAAGTGCTCTCTAGGAGGACCAAAGCAGTTCTCCCTTCTCTCATTAGCCAAGCACAAGGAACCTTTATACAGGATAGACAACTCATAAATTAGATCCTCATTGCAAATGAGAGTGTGGAAGAGATGAGAAGATCTGGCAGAAAAGGTTTTACTTGCAAATTGGACTTGGAAAAGGCTTATGGACTAGTGGATTGGAGTTTCTTGTTGGAGGTGTTAAGAAGGTATGGATTTGGGGACAAATGGTGTAATTGGATAAGTGGATGTTTAAATTCATGTCACTATTCAGTCTTGGTGAATGGAGTGGTTTAAGGACTTCTTTCTAGCCAATAGAGGCTTAAGACAAGGTGACCCACTTTCTCCTTTTTCCTCTTTACACTTGTTGTTGATGTTCTTAGCAAATTGATCTCCAAAGCAGATGAGGAGGGCCAAATAAAGGGTTGGAGAATAGGGAGGAGAGGCATTCCAATAACTAACCTTAGTTTGCTGATGATATTGTTATTTTCTGCGAAGGGAATGATTTAAGCAAGGTGGACAACCTTAAGATAATAAGAGCCTTTGAGCTTGCCCCCAACTTGAGGATAAACTTTGATAAATGTTGTGTGGTTGGAGTAAATATGGAGGATTGGGAGATGGAATCCATTGCAAAGTGTTTAGGTTGCAACACCTCTTCTTGGCCTTTGACCTACTTAGGTCTCCCCTTAGGAGCTAACCCTAAAGAAAGTAGTTTTTGAGCCCCTATTGTAGAGAAATTTGATAAATGCTTAGTAGCCTGGAAAAAGAATTACATTACAATAGGGGATAGGGTGACTTTGATTAGGGCCACAATTGCCAACCTTCCAACCTACTTCCTTTCGGTTTTTAGGATTCCCTCAAGGGAGGCTAAGAAATTGGAGAAGGTAATGAGGGACTATCTGTGGGAACCGGAAGAGGTGAAAAAGAACCATCTGGTTAGATGGAAGATAGTTAATAAACCTAAGGAAGAAGGGGGCCTAGGGATAGGGAACATAGTATAGAAGAATGAAGCCCTCCTAGGGAAGTAGTTATGGAGATGGCCGAGAGAGAGGGAGAGAGAGAGAGAGAGAGGGAGAGAGAGAGAGAGAGAGAGAGAGAGAGAGAGAGATTATGGCATGAGGTGGTGTCAAGTATTCATGGCTACAGAGTAAATGGTTGGGATGCCGGGATATCTCATCGAGCTACCCTTACAACACCTTGGAAGGCTATTCGGTTTTGGAAGAATGTTTGGGTGGGTAATCAACCCCTCAAAGATCAATTCCCCTTGCTTTATTCTCTCCCCCTTCACAAAAATGAGCCAATTGCAAATTTTCTTGTGAACCCATTCATTCCCATGTCTTTAAACTGGGCCTTTGGATTTCGTAGGGGATTAAGGGATAGTGAGTTGATTTGTGCCATCAAGCTACTTCATTTACTTGAGTCAGTTTGTTTGGACCCCACATCTTCTGATCAAAGAGTTTGGACTCTTCTTCCAAAAGGTACCTTTACTTGTTCTTCTTTTCTAAAATCCCTCAATTCCAACCCCAATTCCCAAGTGTTCCCCTTTAAAAAAGTTTGGGCACAACCTATTCCTCCAAAAATTGTTGTATTTCACTGGGAAATCTACTATGGGAAAATCAATACTTTGGAAAATTTGCAGAAAAAGAGACCCTTTCTTTGTCTTCCCGCAAACTGGTGTTCCTTGTGTAAGGCCCAGAAAGAGGACAGTTTCCATTTGTTGATCTCCTGCTCCTTTGCTACAGCCTTATGGAGTTGGAGCCTTAGTTTATTTGGAGGTAGGTGGTCTCCGCCATCTGATTTGAGTTTGTTATTCAACCCATCTTTTTTTGTATGGCACACTAGAAGAGGCAAGTTAATGTGGAAATGTATCAAGGCAGCCACCTTATGGACTCCTAGTCTTCTTAGAGGAGGAAAGGAGCTTGGATGAAGTGAAGGACTGTACTCCAACAAGAACAATACATTGGCTGAAAACCTTGGATATATTTGTTGATTTCTCTTTTGATGACCTATGGAGGAATTGGTTAGTAATAGCTAATACTTCTACAAAGAAGACTAGAAGTTTGTTAGAATGGGATCCGCCTCCAGAAGGTGTGATCAAGTTAAATTTTGATGGGAGCAGCCAAGGTAACCCTAGGCCTTCAGGTATAGGGGGTGTCCTGAGGAATAAGGTTAGTAACATCATCTCCTTATACTCAGGACTAGTGGGAGTGGGGGACTCTACAAGGGCAGAAATACTAGCTGTTGTAGAAGGAATTCAGATTGCGAACCAGCTTGGGGTGGAACATCTCCCAGTTGAAGGGGACTTTCAGGTGGTAACAAGGTGGCTTCTAAACCTAGATGCTACCATTTGGGGCTACAAAGATCTCATAAAAAAAGTAAAGTGGTTAACCAATAATATGAGAGTTGAGGTAAAATGGGTAAGTAGGTCAGCTAATACTATGGTTGATTCTTTAGCCAAAGAGGGGGTTTCTAGGGAGGTTCTTTTTTGTGCTACATTGTGACTTGTTCTAGTATATTGGAAAGTTGTACTTAACTAGCTTGGAGAGGTTGCATCTCGTACTTCTCCTTGAGGACATTGTACTATTACCATTGCTGATTAATAAATTTCTTTCAATTATCAAAAAAATAAAATATTTTCAGTTTCTTTTTAAACAATCTTGGTCATCAAGGACAGGTGCAGAAGAAAAAACAAAATAAAGATTATAAAAGACATATGACACTAGAACAGAGTTGAAGAATAATTTCTTTATCCAAAAAAAAAAAGAACAAATTCCTTTTCACTAAAAGAGAATGATCTGAACACAAGTAGTATATCGGTAGTCTGATATTAAAACCACAAAGCATCAAGAAGAGAAAATGAAACAGGGAAGTTTCTTTTAGAAAATTGAATCTTTTAAATAATATTGATAAAAACTGACTTTTAAATAATAATATCCAGTTATCAATCTTTCTTCATAAGTTCTCAATTTTAATGCCTTTTTAAGTAAGAGCTTATATGATTCATTTCTTGAGTTGACTGCTGTTGCTGAATCATCATTCAGTTAGTTCCAAGTTCCCAACTATTTGAGGCTAAGTGGTGCAGTCACCGGTCGTAATGGAAAACATAGAAGACATCTCCCTAATGCCCCTTGAGTTGCACCAGAACCAGAAGGCATTGACACTGAAAATAGCACTCAGGCCTCAAGGGGGCACGAATGACTGGTATTAAGACAACAAATTTACGAACTCAAAACAGATAAATTATAACGCGTTTTCACCTCACAATCCAAATAAATAAAAGAAAACTCTTCTCAATTATTAAATGGACTGAGTTTATCCAAATTAAAATCTAAAACGACAAAAGCGATATCAATTTCTCAACAGTCAGCTCCAAGACCCTAATGCCTGTTGAATTTCAACATGCCTCCCACAATCGTTTCTGTAGTTGAACATAACAAACTGTAATTTGAACTGAGATGCTTAACCTAACTACTAGGGTTTTAGGGAAAGGAATTTAAACGATAGTCATTGTTAAGCTGCTCGTTGAATAAACACGACGACAATCAGAAACTTAAAGCACAACAGAAGCAAACCCCCTGCAACAAACCCCACCTCCCGAAACAGGCAAAGAGAAAAGAAAAACAAAAAGGAAATAGAAAAGAAAAGAAACAAAGTTGAACAACATATAAGATAATATGATCATGGAAACCCTCACCTCATCACTATTCAAACATAGCAAAACAAGCAACGGAAGCACAGACCCAGAAAACTAAATTCATCCATAAGCACAACCCAGAAAAGAAAATAACCAAAAGAAAAGCCGTCGATTGAAGTTGATCAACTTACAGGTTCTTGGGACGATAACCAGATACAGAGAAGAGCAAAGCAGAAGTTATCAAAGTATCGATAACTCCAAAGTAGAACGAAATCAGTTAACTTTCCAAGAAGCAGAATCCCCAGACAACAAACAGAAAGAAAAAACAAAAGGGAGAGGTCAAATTGTAAAGGGAGAGCGAGAGACGAGAAGGGAAGGAGAAACCAGGAATTAATGGAAATATAAACTTTTAAAAATCAGCCAAACAGCAGGGGCCCACAACAGTTTATGCGGCTCCCGCTAGAGTTTTAGTGCTAAGAGGAGACTGAAGAGATTATACCAACACCAACAAATGAGAATTGCTACCTGCTGCTGCGGCAAACCAGGCTTTTCTGTTTTAAGCTTTAGCTTACAAGCATGGATCACCCTTCTATAACGACTCCTTTTCTTATTCCCATAGAAAAATCGTTGCGTCACAACATGGTTGACACCTTTCGTGTTAACCCACAACTCCTTCTGCCTACGTGTCTGTGTGAGACGACGGGGACCCACTGATTGGAATCTGGTAAAGAGGTCATCCGATGATACGGACCGTATGACTGGAACCTAGAGAACAAGAACCGGATCCCACCATCCTGCAAATTTTTTGCATAAATAATTCGTTCAGCGATGAGTAATGATCCTACGTGTCAAGAGTTTGTATAGATGTAATGCGTGGCGTGCTGAATATCTTACATGGAGGAACGAAAGGCATCCACGTGTTCACAGTACTCCATTCTATGGGCTAGGAACCTAGCGCTGCTGATGATTTCTCTGAATATCTTTCGGGAATGTGCCCCACGGGCCGGAGACTTTGAGCCCCGTTCGGGGGGGGGGGTACTATCGTCAATACAACTTAGAAAAGAACAAAACAGCCGGATTAAGATAGGATACACAGTAAAGACATCCTAGGCCGTATAGAACTGTACTTCCCGTAGGCCTAGAGTCCAAAATCCAAACTTCAGAGACTAGAGAGAACGTTACGTCCGGTAATAGGGAATCTATTGATACAGGCTTCTGTGGACACCCCCTACCAATAGAATCTGACACCGCACATCTCACATATGACATGTCCCACTTTTGATGTGCGGTGTCAGATTTGTTGGTAGGGTATTGGAACATATCTTGTTAGCAGGAGATCCTAAATCTTTACACTGCGCGAGTCCGGATCAGAAGAGGATGATTCCCTTGGTAGCAGTGTAGCACCAAGCAACAAGGAACAACAACCACTCGAGGCCTTTCATGAGTCTCTGGTACGAGAACTTGGGATTACAATTCGAGAGAACAAATAGGCCTTGATCTTCTGTACAAGAGACACGTGGCTCATTTCAGCGAAGTTGTTGAATGATAATGGGCTAATTATTATTATTATTATTGTTATTTTTTCTTATAATAGGCGCCATAGATATTTATATAAATGGATGCAAGAAAAGGATGTTATGGCCTTATGGGTATGGGTATGGGCCCTGGCCTTTAGGGTTAGGCATCTTCCTTTGATGGGGTCCACCACGTGGGGTAGAAGGTTTCCGGATGAGCAACGAGTGGCCCATATCTGAGATGGAGACATGAAAATGGATATGGGACCCACCAAAAGAAGTTCTGGATTGGACATGTTCTAGTTTGGAAGCTAGGGACAGAAGCCAAGCATCAGCTATAGAAACTTTTTCTCAGTTCTACGACACCGTCCAAGCCCCATACGGCCCTAACTTTATTAGGGTATATATATATATATATATGATCAGGTCAGATATGGAATTAATGGATGCAGTTAAGTCCAAACACAGCCCAATTGGAAAGCTTTTTAGACTTCTAAGTTTAATGTGGAGTGGCTGTTACTTTAAATCCTCATTCATAAATCGGAGTAGGTAAATCGGTCAGCACAAGATTTTGCATTTATTTTTTAGTATTAGTGAGTCTTCCGAAAAGTAACCGAGTATATCAGTTGTTTGGATAAAGTAAATAACTTTTGTGCTATCAATAGAATTGCTAAGATATGATGGGACAATATTGTCTCATGAATAATGATATTTTTATAGATAATCTATAAACAGTTATTATTTAATTTTACCTGAAAATTAAGAAATATATTAATAATTAGATAAAAAAATATTTGTGGAGAATAAGTGCATTTACCTAAATAAATAACCTCCAAAAAAAAACAAATGAGACCTAACCCAATAAGAAATAAATGGAATGTGGATTTAGGAAACCTAATATAGTTATATGGTGGAGACATCCAATCTAATGAAGAGTTAGATCACCATCAATTCATTCCATTTCTTGACCTATCTTTTTTAATAAACAACAAATAAGTAAAAACATAAAAGTGGTTCTTTTTTTGTTAATTTAACTTGTTACTACCTAGCTCTAGCTACATGCTATGGTCTTCATTTAATAAATAGTACAGCAAAGAACCAAAAAAAAAAAAGAAAAAGAAAAAAGGTAAAATCAACTTAAGCCATTTCTACACAAAATGTGTAGTTTGAAACCCAACTTTGTTTGTGTTGGTACATTATCAAGATTCTTTCTCTTTGTAACTTTTATATGCTTAGGAAACTACAAAATACAAATCTTATGGAACGGCCCATACAAATCTTAAAATTCTCGTGAAATTTATAAATAAATGTTTTTTATGATACTTTTTGGTTCTATGTTACTAGAAAGACATTGGATGGTCAAATATAAACACTAAGGACCATGGATAATGTTGCTTCGGGGCTCTTGAGAGGAGATGAAGGTTGAGATCTTTCAGTAGGTGTTTGGCATTGGTACTGAGAATACTACACCGTTTTCTCATAAAAATGGTGTTAGGCATGTGTGAATTATAAGCACCATTTTCTCATTGGAGGCGGTACTGCCTGCCACATAGGCTGTTTTTTGGGAAAATAACATTGGTTTTTGTTTAGTACCAGTGTTATAGAATCATTGGTCATATTATCCGATGTCCAAAATGATGTCATATCATTGTACCACTGGCAGCAATGAGCTGTTTTTTGTGAAAACAATTGCTTCAAACCACATCATTGCTCAAAATAAGAGGCCGTTTTCTAAAACACTGCTTTTTCTGATGTGGTGTCGATGTGGCACCATTTTCTCAAAAAATGGCATTAATGCCAAACACCCACTCAATTTTTATACCAAAGAGTACAAATAGTACGTGGCACAGCTATTATTAGTTACACATGTTTTCATCACAATCATGGCAAAGCTATATCAAACGGTACAATATTTTTGTAAAAGGAAAACAATAAAACAGTTCAATATTTTTGTAAAGGGGAAACAATCAGTACTGAGGCATTGGCATGTAGAGGTGAGTGGTCTAGCCACTACGGTTTTAACACAAAGGCCATGGTTTTAGGATGATTGGCAAGAGAAATAGATTGTGTTTATCCAAGGAACTGGATAAATGTGTGGGTTTCTATTTCTTCCTCACTAAAAGGCCCTCACCCTCTTCACACCACATCGCAATCACACATCAAGAACATTTCCCATACATGTATGATTTCATTCCAGATGTTCCGTATACATAATTAGAAGTGTTATTAGGTGGGTGTGACTTTGTGAGGACTAGATATGTTCATGGGCTAGCCCGGCCTACTCTAAGTTAGGCTTGGAGCCTTGGACATGAATTTAGACCCATGGGCTCAGGCTTGGGCCCAAAATAACAGACCCAACATTTTTTGGGCCACGCTCATGCTTTCTCAAAAAAACTTCACCCAAGAGCGAGCCAACTTGATAATAAATAATATAACAAAAAATATATGTTTTATATAATTAAAATAAATAATATATTATTTTATTTGTTTTTCTTCTCTTTTTTTCAAGCTACAATGAGATTTTTATATTTTTGGGTTTTGAGGTCTTTTAATATAAATAAAACAGTTTTCTACTGGATAAAAAAAGAATAAAAACATTTTTTTCCCAATTTTCTAGCCAGGTTTTAGTTTTTACATGAGTGCCAAGCTCAGGTTCAACAACATGTCATCTTCAATTTGTAAGCAATGGTGCCCATTGGATCCCCAATAGCCAAATTTCCAATGTTACAAGTATCGACGCTTTTCAAACATTGAAAACACAAATAGCTCAAATCAATAAGGGTTGTAACTTGTTATACCTAAAAACGCTAAGGTGGCACTCATGTAGGATGTGTTTCATTGCAATGTGAATTTATTTGCATTGATGCAAAACCATGGTTGTGCATATTATTTTGGTGCAAATTATATTTTGTTTTTATTTCAAATCTTACGTTATATTATCCCATACATTTATACTAACATCGTTTTAAGATCTTAAAATTGCAACAGTATCTGCTTCAAAATGTCAACATCGTTTTAAGATCGACAATCTCCAGTGGGGATTGGCGAATACTTGGTTAAAACTTAGAAGAGATTCTCACGTGCATTTTACCACTCAGATCTTTCTTTGGTCGGTAGTCTTGCTATCAGAAACCACAAAGCTTGGTTTGCACATGTGAGGCTTGTTTGGAGGCTTGTAATGTTCCCGATGAGCAATTGCTGTAGATATTGAGAGCAGATCCAATGTCGAGCTCCCAAAAACCAACAAGCACAACATAAGCCATTGGTTTATTTTCTTCATGGGTGGTAATAGTAGTTGCTATTTACACAAGTGGTGAAGCTTCAAATCACCTTACATGCATATTATTTTTACAGAAGCAACAAAGCCATTTGACTGTGTTTAAACCATTTAGATCCGGATCAATCTAATAAATCCAGACCAAACCAATTCAATCAATGGCAGATTGGCTTGGACTAACCCATATCAGGTTTGTGCACAAGTTTGGGACCGAACCTGTTGGCCCAAAGCGGGTCAAGAAATAAATCAATCCAATATGGATTTGGGTTGTATTGCACATATATGAACCAAACCAAACGATCCATACTATGTCAGGTTCAGGCTGGCTAGTAGCCCCAAGGTGATCAGGTCTATTCATATTTAGACGAAGTTGAGCTGGTCCTAACTGGGGTCAAGTTGATTTGGATTTGTCCATTTTGGGTGAAGTGTGTTGGTTCAAGACAACTAATTTAGTCAATCATGAATAGAAAATTAATGCATTAATTACAAATTATTTCAATCAAATGAAGAACATTAAAAGAAAATGTCTAAGAAATTAATATTTGTATCTCTAGTGGTTAACCCAATGGTTATCCACAACCCAATCCAACCCAACCCATTTAAATTGATCCAATGGGTGATCAACCCACTTCCAACCCACCAAAGTAAATGGGCAGGATGGGTGAAAAATTGCCACCCTTGCATGGTACAAACATAAATAAACAAGAAAAAATAAAAAGCAGCAAGTT